ATATACACACTGCATATATAATTTCTTTCAACATTAGTGGTGCTTTCACAGTGGTGCACTCTCTGGTTATGCAGCTATAATGTTGCAGCATGTTTCTTGCTGTTTTCGTGTTGAAATAAGCGTAGGTGTCTCTGACATCAGACACTGCAGTGCTGCTGGAGTTTTTAAACACCTCAGTGTCACTGCTGGACTGAGAATAGTCCACCAACCAAAAATATCCAGCCAACAGGTTCCTGTGGGCAGCGTCCTGTGACCACTGATGAAGGACTAGAGGATGACCAACACAAACTGTGCAGCAGCAGATGAGCTATCGTCTCTGACTTTACATCTACAAGGTGGACTGACAAGGTAGGAGTTTCTAAAAGAGTGGACAGTGAGTGGACACAGTGTTTAAAAACTCCAGCAGCACTGCTGTGTCTGATCCACTCTTACCAGCACAACACTCACTAACACACTACCACCACGTCAGTGTCACTGAAGTGCTGAGAATGATCCACCACCCAAATAGTACCTGCTCTGTGAGGGTCTATTGGGGTCCTGACCACTGAAGAACAGGTTAAAAGGGGGCTAACAAAGTATGCAGAGAAAGAGATAGACTACAGTCTGTAATTATAAACTACAAAGTGCACCAATATAGTAAGTGGAGCTAATAAAATGGACAGTAAGTGTAGAAACAAGGAGGTGGTCATAGTGTTATGCCTGATCGGTGTATATAAAGTACAGTGTAGATATTATCTCTTTCAGCATTATTGGTGCTTTCACAGAGGTGCAGGTTACAACCTAGCCCCCCCCCTCACACACAATTTGACAGATTCTGGCTTTTGAACTTTATGCTAATAACAGTTTAAATGCTTCTTCAAATTTTTAGTACAGGATCCACTGTCCAATGTCCGTTATTCCATAAACAGTCTGAAAGGTGGAAAAGTCAAACTACAGTATATGTTTCCACTGTGTAATAGTCCATTTCAGATGAGCTCAAGCCCTGAGAAGTCAGCTGTGTTTCTGGATGTTGTGGACTTATGACTACGCACTGTACATAGTAACTGTGGACATTGATTTGTGGGTTTTGGCCTTAAAACGCACACACATTTCTCAAGATTTCCTGAATCTTTTGATGATGTTATGCACTGTAAAAGGTGAAATAACTAAAAACCCTTAAATTGCTTTTGAGGGACATTGTTCTTAACTGTTGCATTACTTGCTGATACATTTTTTTGCAAAGTGACAAGCCTCAATCCATCCTTGCTCATGAAGGACTAGGCCTTTCCTGGATATTTTCCTTTGTGCCTGATCATGATTTCATCACTTATTTAAGATGTTTTTTGAAAATATAACAATATTCCTAGTGTTAAGTTGCCTCTGTCTCAACTTTTGTCTCAACATCTTGCAGGCATAACTTTGTATGTGTGCAAGTGTGTATTTATCACTGAATGTAATAAAATAAAACATTCAATATCATCATCATCATCATTGTCATCATCATCATTAACCTCTTAGTCCAGATAGGGTCATGGTAGCAATTGGGAGAGCAGAGAATCCCAGATGACCCTGTCCCCCGCAATGTCCTCCAGCTCATTCCCGTGGACTCCAAGCTACTCTCAGGCCAACTTGGAGATATAATCCCTCCAGTGGGTCCTAGGACGACCCCGGGGTCTTGTCCCAGTAGGCTGTGCCTGGTACACCCCCACCGAGAGGCGCCCAGGGGGCATTCGGATCAGATGCCCGAACCACCTCTACTGGCTTCTCTCAATGTGGAGGAGTAGCAGCTCTACTCCGAGCTCCTCCTGCATGACCGAGCTCCTCGCCCTATCAAGTAGAGTGTAGCCAGTGAGCGCTGGAGGCATCCATGCAATCCAGCCAAAAGAACATCATCGATCATCAGCAAAAAGCAAAGACGCCACCCTCCGGCCTCCACACATAATGCCCTCCTGACCTCGGCTATGCCTTGACACCCTGTCGATTAATATCACAAACAGGAGTGGATACAAGGCACAACCTTGGTGGAGTCCAATGCTAACACTGAAAGAGCTTGACTTAATGCCAAGTATATGAACACGAAGTATACACTCCTGAGTCACCGGACAGTTGTCCAGAACGTCCTTGAGGCCAACTGAAAGTCTTTTTCCATGGCCTCACCGAACTCCTCCCATGCCCTGGATTTTGCTTCCGCCACCGTTGCCACTGCAACCTTTTTTGCCTGTCGGTACCTATCTGCTGAGTCAGGAGTCCTCCGGGCCATCTAGTCCCTAAAGGCCTCATTCTTCAGCTTGATGGCCTCCCTCACCACTGGTGTCCACCAGGGGTTCTTGGGTTATCGCTCTGACAGGCACCCACAAGCTTTGGGTACAGCTATGCCTGGCAGCTTCCACAATGGAGATTCATTCAGATTCCATGTCCCCTACCTCCTCTGGAACATGAGAAAAGCTCTCCCGGAGGAGAGAGATGATCATTGATCACTGACCAGGCCTGGCTCCAGGGTTAGGTCCCGGTAACCCAGTACACGGTTTTCTGTGTCCTTTTGTCATGGAGGATTTTTGGATCGAGTTAGTCTGGGTCTTCACTCCAGACCTTTTCACCTTGGGAGACCCTACCAGGAGCATATTGCTCCCGACAGCTTAGCTCTGAAGATCCCTAGACCACACAAGCCCTTCTGCCACGGCAAGGCCCCGGAAGGGGCATTCAATATCTTGTCTTTAAAATAATTTTGTAATAAAATAAAACAAATAAAAATAAAGATACAGTGAAAAAATAAAATAAATGCAGTGGTTTGTCCATTTTCCCCTGTATTTTAACAACATTATTTTATAGACACAACATTCAGTACCTTTCCAGAACCCCGCCCACTCGCTCCAAGAAGGCCGAATACTCCGACCTGTTGTTTGATGCACAAGCACACACAACAGTCAGTTTTCCTCTCTGCGATTTTAATTCGCATTGAGGCGACCCTCTTGTCCACTGGGACAAACTTCAACTGCATGGCAGCCAGCTGGGGACTCGTGGCTCCAGGGGTAGGTCCCGGGTAACCCACTCCCGGGCTGGGTACATGGTTTTCTGTGTCCTTTTGTCATGGAGGATTTTTGGATCAAGTTAGTCCTGGTCTTCACTCCAGACCTGTTCACCTTGGGAGACCCTACCGCACCTAGCATATTGCTCCCGACGACTTGGGTCTGAAGATCCCTAGACCACACAAGCCCTTCTGCCATGGCAAGGCCCGATCCGGGAAGGGACATTCAATATCTTGTCTTTAAAATAATTTTGTAATAAAATAAAACAAATAAAAATAAAAATGCAGTGAAAAAACAAAATAAACAAATGCAGTGATTTGTCCACTTTCACCTGTATTTTAACAAAACTATTTTAAAGACAAGACTTCCAATATCTTGTCTTTAAAATAATTTTGTTAAAATACAGGTGAAAGTGCACAAATCACTGCATGTTTTTATTTGCATTTTACCTACTGTGCCAACTTTTCTGGGTTTGTATGGGTATGTGTTACTGCATCCATGCTAGATGACTTATATTTTAATAATTTTTCTGTACAAAGCTATTAATTTCCATAGGTACCGACCATAACCTTTGTGTTCAAAGGTTACTGTGTTGCTTTTAGTAATAAATAAATATTTAATGTATTACTTCCTCCGTACTATATGACATTCAGTATTTTACTTGTAGTGAGTCATTCACCCTGCTAGATACCTACAACCTTCAAAGTGTTTGTTACATTGCTGATTTTTAGTAAAAAAAAAAATTGTGAATGTTCAATTTATTACCATAACCATGCTATATAGTTATATTTATATCATCTGTAGTAAGTCTAAAATAAATCATCCCCCTATCTACCTGCTGCAACCTTGAAGGAGTTAGAGTATTGCTTTCTTAATTTTTAGTAATAATTTGAAATTTAAAGTTTATCATTGTAACTTTGCTACATGACTTATATTCAATATATTATCTGTAGTAAGTCAGCCATCCTTAAAAGTATGTCTCTTAAAAGTAATTCGTCAATGTTTTGCTGTTCAGTGTCTTTTTATTCAGCAAAAGAAGGTTACTTTTGAAATATATTTGGTTTTAGTTTGTTCTCTGTGTTCTGAGGAATGAGAAAATGTTGGTGCAGTTTTGCAAGTCTTAAGTCACAAATCAGGTAAGCATGCGTCTGAGTTGAGTTGCAAGTAGGTCAAATGTGACTCAAGTCCGTGTCAGTCGCTGAATAAAAAAAAACATACTGTGTAGTCTATACTATATACTGCACCTTTGATGTGTACTGCACACCAAGTGCCACTTGTTACTAAGTTCTGGGGAAAGGTAGCATTTAAATTAACGGATTTGATATCTGGATCAGTGTCTGCAACCATTACTGTTTTGATTCTGAATGATGTCGTCTCAGTGTTAAACATTACTACACTCATAAGATGCATGTTGTATTGTTCCATTGTGGCTATTGTGTTATAGTAGCTAAAAAAAACAGCTGGAAACCACCTTACTCTCTCTTGATCAGAGTCTTGGTTCTTTCTTTTTTTTAGATGTAATTGATGTGGAGCTCTCAACAGCCCATATTAATGGTGATAATGATCAATCACTCCCACAGTGCTGTCAATATTTCATTTTTTTTTTTTTCATCCCCCTTCTGAAATTTAGTGCTCTTCGTGCATATATGCCCTGCTTGCATCTTCCCAGTTCCTCAAGCATTAAGCTTTACATAGAAGGACTCTTTACTGCGGTGGCACTGGAACCTTTCAGTTATGGTTTCTGTTTTTCCATTGGCTTCTTGTTTTTTTGTGTAAAGAAGAAGGTTTTGCTGAAATAGATAAATTTCCTGTACACCAATTTACTCCATCTATACAATAGCTGATAAAAACAGAAAGTTTTAGGGGTCTTTGTATTCTTAAGCATCACCTGTGGAATATCCTCAAAGAAAGACTTGCGTGATGGTTCTTATAAGGTAAAGTGGATCTCACACAAGTTATTTATGCATTATTTCTGTCACTGCTTTTCTTCTCCAGCAGATTGCTCAAGCTTCTCAGATCCCCACATTCCTCTAGTGGCACGGGAGATCATGCAGCGAATGATTCGACAGTTCGCTGTGGAATATACCTCAAAAACTACTGCAGCTCAGGATATACCCCATCCCCAGTCCCAACTCAACGGCACCAAGGACCAAAGTCTGCAAAAAGCACCCTCACCAGACCTGGCTGCCATTGTGCCCACCTCCCTCAGTACGGGCCCTGGCACCAGTGTTGCTGCCTCTGCACAGAACCCTGTCCTTAGCAAGCTTCTCATGGCTGACCAGGAATCTCCACTGGACCTCACTGTTAAAAAGCCTGATGTGGAGTCCAGCCACCAAGGTAATTATTCTAACAAAGTCTTAGAAAAAAATTGTAAAATTGTTTAGCGAAGTGACAATAATACACCAAATTTTAGACAAGGATAAAGTCTACAGAATAAACTTATTTCTGATTATTTGTAGTGATTTTAAAAGGGAGGAAAATAATGTACCATGTTTTAAATCAGTCTGTTTTATAGTGTGTATGCAAAAACCCAAATAAAGATAGGGCAAACAAAAAATTCTAGTAGATATTGCAATACACTGAGCTTATTAGGTACCCCTACCATGTTTGTATACTCATTTGCCATTTTACATATACACACCAGTTTCTGCTAGTATATTTTGGTACTGGTTATGTTGTGCAGAAATGATTCAGAGACTTGCTAACATTGTGGAAGATGCAAAACCTCTATTGTGTTATCACATGACGTGCCTGCCAAGTATTATGCCGTATCTGCAACAGCCTTAAAAAACTGTTATCTATTTTATAGACTATTTAACTATTAGCTTTTAACTGTTTGACAGATTAAAATCAAGCATCTTGCTGTGACTTGCCAGTCTAGTTGGCTTTGGGTAAACACCTTTTCAAAAATATTGTTTTCCACACCATATTCCAGACATGCCTTTTTGATAGTCATGGAAACAATAAACAATAAACCAAATGTGTAATGTCTTGGATCACAGTCTTGCTTATTGAATTTGAACTTGAGTGAAGCTCCTTCATCTGTTAAACTGCAGCAATCCAGAGGCTGTATTATCCACTTATTCAGAACAGCATTTCATTTTATCAGTTAAAGAGATATCTGTCTTTGTATTCTAAAGCATCACCTGTGGAATATCCTCAGAGAAAGACTTATGTGATGGTTCTTATAAGGTAAAGTGGATCTCACACAAGTTATTTATGCATTATTTCTGTCACTGCTTTTCTTCTTCAGCAGACTGCTCAAGCTTCTCAGATCCTTATTCACTTATTCAGAACAGCATTTCATTTTATCAGTTAAAGTCCCCAAAAAAGCTCATTTGAATTGAAAATGGAACAAGCACCAAGGTCAGTACTTTAGGCTATCATGGAAAAATTAGATTATTGGATTTTCTCTTTTCTAGAGAAAATCAAATTTCACACAAACCACAATTTCACTCTGAAGTAAAGCAGAACTACAGCTGCAAAGTGGCATTCATCATGTTATTAAAAAGTTTAACTAATTCTGCTTGAACAAGACTGCTGTGTCAAATAACAACACTAGCTCACCTTGTGTTTGAAAATTATGCATATGCAAGAATACTGTTCATTGACTCAAGCAGTTTACATAATTTTCTCCTAAAAGAGAAAGAGAAAGCTCAAGAAAGAGTGCTCAGCGTTGGGAATATCAGTAGCTTCAATGACTTGTGGAGAGCATATTGACTGGCGCCGAAATTACAGTGCAACAGATGGTAAAAAAAAGCTGAATTAAACAGAGCTTCACTGCCATGTATACAGGACATTTGCAATAAGAGATATCTGAGGAAAATTCACAGCATCATCAGAGATCCTGCAGACCCCAGTACTGGACATTTTATATCCTTTGCCATGTGGAAAGTGCTACCAGAGCATCCAGGCTTGTACTACCATACTTGAAATGCACACTCTGTCAGATTTTCTCCAGGCTTCTCAGTGGCATGTGGTATACTGCTCTGGGTCAATATACAGATTAGTCACCATGGGGAGATATACAGTGCCCTCCACAGAAATTGGCACCTCTGTTAAATATGAGCAAAGCAGGCTGTAAGAAACGTTGTTTATCCTTTTGATTTTCATTAAGAATAGTAACAAAAATCTAACCATTATTTGAAATAGAATGATTGAAAGAAAAAAAAAACAATCTTATCATCACTTCATGATACAGTCATGTGAATAAGTACACCACTTGACAAGTTCAGACTTTTTCAGCATATTTGTACACACAGATTTCCAGTCTTCATTTAAACAATGTTGATGGGTAAAGGTGATAATAATTTAACAAGTAACACCGAAAATTGACATGTTTATCATCCTTTATATAACTGAAATAAATGCAATTTCCTCATGTGGAAAAAGCAAGTACACTCCTATATTAAATTGAAATCAAATTGAAGGTGCCCTAGGTACTTGAACACTATTAAGAGAACATCTTGGAGGAACTTGTTTTATTTAAACCTTGGAAATCTGGTCTAATTAGTCTAGTTTGGGATATCAGCATGCCTAGATCAAAAGAGCTTTCTGAGGCCCTCAGATAGAATATTGTCGATGCCTATGAGTCTGGGAAGGGGTTTGAGAAGTATTTCCAAAATATTAGAAATCAATCCTTATACTTTAAAAAAGATCATCTACAAGTAGACATGTGTACGCCAGGCTGCCCCAGCAAATTTAACCCAAGAGCAGACCAGAAGTTGCTAAAAGAAGTCTTCAGGAAACCCAACATTTCATCACAGGATCTGCAGGTAGCTCTTTGGATCTGTGGATGTCAAAGTGTGTGCATCTCCCATTAGAAAGAGACTGCACAAATGCGACCTACATGGGAGATTCACCAGGAGGAAGCATTGGCTGAACATCAGGGGAAGACTAAAGTTTGCTAGTTAATATTTAGGCAAGACCAGGACTTCAGAAACCAGTGTACTATGGACAGGCTAGTAAAATATATTGTTTGGCCACAGTACCAGAGGCCTTTTTTGGTGAAAACTAAAGACTGCATTTGATCAGAAAAGCAACTCTAAAGTATGATGGTGCAAATGTTATGTCTGGGGCTGCTCTTTGCTGCCTCAGACCCTGGCCAACTTGCAGTCATGGAATCAACTATGAATTCTTTTTTATACCAGAGATTGACTGAGGAGAATGTGAGATTATCTGTGAAAAAATGTAGGAAATAGACTTTCCACCGGGATAAAGATCCCCAATGTACAAGGAATGGCTCAAAAGAAAAAAAAAAATGGAGGGTTGTGGAACAGCCTAGTCAAAACCCAAATCTGAATCCCACCGAAGTGCTGTTGAAACAGGCTGTTCATGCAAGAAGCCCCTCAAACATTGCACAGTTAAAAAAAAAATAAGTTTCTCCCAGTAGATGCCAGAAGCTGGTAGACAGTTATAGGAAATGGCTACATAAAGTTGTTTGTCAAAAGGGGCAGTACCAGTTACTGAAGCCAGGGGTGTACTTACATTTTCAACAGAAAAAAGACATCTCAGTTCATTTATTTTTAAACAAATTAAATTGCAAAGTCAAATTTCCATTGTTTCTGTTCTGTTGTGCAACATTTATCTATGCATACTTTCAGATCAAATACTGATATTCCCACATATGTCAAAAAAGGAAACATTTCATGGGGTGTACTTATATTTCTCAAATACATGAGTGCCATAATTTTTGACCTCCCCTAATTTAATACTTTGTGTAGCCTCCCTTTGCGAAAATAACAGCTCTGAGTATTCTTCTGTAATGCTTAATGAACACTAGGCAAGATTCCGAAGAGCACAATTGTGGACCCTCCTCTTCAGCTCCTCACCCAGGTTTTCTATGAGGTTTAGGTCAGGGACTGGATTGACCATGGCAAAAGTTTGATTCTGCAGTCATTAAACCATTTTTCTGATGATTTTGTGGTGTGCTTTGGATTATTGTCCTGCTGGACAATTCAACCACGACCCACTTTAAGCTTCCTGTCTAAGACGGCCAGGTTTTGATATATCTTCTGGTACTTGAGGGACTACATGATACCATGTATCTGATTAAGTTGTCCATGTCCTTTAGAAGAATAACAGCCCCACCACATCACAGATCCAACAACATACATTATTTGGACAAAAATATTGGGACACACCTCTTAATCATTAAATTCAGGCCCATAGCCACATGTGTATAAAATCCAGCACCTAGCCATACAGTCTGCCTTTACAAACATTTGTGAAAGAATGGGGCGTTCTAAAAAGCTCACTGAATTTGAGCATAGTACTGTAATAAAACGCCACCATTGCGAAAAGTCAGTTCACAAAATTTCTTCCCTCCTGGATATTCCATGATCAACTGTGAGTGTTATTATTGAAAAGTGAAAGCGTTTAGGAACCACAGCAACTCAGCCACGAAGTGGCAGACCACGTAAAGTTCCAGAGCCGGGTCGCCGAGTGCTTAGGTGCATAGTACATAAATGTCTCCACGCCCCGCTGACTCAATAACTGCAGAGTTGCAAATCTCCTCTAGCATTAACATCAGCACAAAAAAGTGTGCGCTGGGAGCTTCATGGCATGGGTTTCTATGGCCGAGCAGCTGCATGCAAGCCTTACATCACCAAGCACAATGCCAAGCGTCGGATGGAGTAGTGTAAAGGACACCACCACTGGACGTATTCTGTGGAGTAACGAATCATGCTTCTCTATCTGGCAGTCAGATGGCGAAGTCTGGGTTTGGCAATTTATTTATTTGAACTCACAAATGCTAATCTGGATGAAAGGGCAAAAATTTCCACAGACACACTCCAAAATCTTGTTGAAAGTTTCCCAAAGGAGTGGAAGCTGTTATAGCTGCAAAGAGGGGACCAGCTCCATATTAATAACTATTCATTTTGAATGGGATGTCATAAAAGCTCCTGTAGGTGTCCCAATGCTATTTGTCCATATAGTGTACTTCACAGTGGGAATGCGATACTTTTCTCATGGCTATGTTTGCGTCTCTTGCCAAACCCACTGGTGTTTGTTGCCAAAAAGCTGTATTTTAGTCTAATCTGAGCATAGAACATGGCCCCACTGAAAGTTCCGGTAACATTTGGCAAAAGGATGAGCAAAAAAGAATGTTTTTACTGCTCATTTTCCTCATGTTTACCAGGGGTGTCAGTATTTCTGGAGGGCATTGTAACATGCAGAGACCTGAGAATTATGTACAAGAGCTCCTTATGTTGCTGTAATCAAGGCAGCTAAAACACAAATGCTCCAAACAAAAGTGGCTTAATTTTGCTCTAAAATAAGTGCTAAATAAAATATATAAAAATCTGTTGAGATTTTCATGTCAACAAACGTCATTTGACAAGGGGCTCCCAAACCTTTGCATACAACTGTATTTCATTAGAGAATGGCCCAAATATGAAATTGGTATCTTCATCCTATCTGTTGGGTCCCTCTGGTGCTACTCAGTGCCCCAGACACACTATATGTACATAGAATTTACTGATTTGCCATCTCTGTGTGTGTTTGCGTCCTCCATGGTAACGTACATTAAAACTATCAAGTATGTAGAGCAGTACTTACTCATAATTTAATATAAATATTTAGTACTTATTTACAAGTTTGGTACAGACTTAGGAAAACTACCTGTGGTAAATATGTAGTGCTTGCAAGTAATTCACAGTGACTTTACAAGTTCAGTATGTAAGTGCAGAGTGACTAATGTGCAAAATACCAGGTTTATTTTAGTCTTTAACATTAAGATGATAACAGTCGTGAGTACTACTAAACGGCTTTTGTAAATACATGCATACATGTAAATACATGTTAGAGAAGAATGGATAATTAATAGGACTGGAAAATAAAGTGCAACTTTGTTCATCGTAATTCCAGCAACAACTTGTTTTACTGTGATATACAAAGAAAATCCGTACAGTGTTTATAACCATACATCAGGCCATTCATACACAGTTCATAGAACAGACTGCTAGATTGACCGTGACATTAAGAGCAAATAACATTGTGGTAACACATTTGCTCATGGCTGCGTTTTTCCTTCTTTTAAATATGGTGGTAGCGATTCATAACACGACACAATCCCACAAAAAAATAACTATGGTTATTTTTTTTCACAGGTAAGAAGCCAGTGTGCGTATAATTATATATTCCACAGTGTTTTGTCACACATGCAAGTAATAAACGAGTTATGCATGTTCACCATAACCATGCTACAAGCTTTCACATTTATTTATTTCTCCTGCTACCACTTTTGCCAGTCAGCAGTAGTTTGTTACATTTGCTAATGTGTTTATGTGCTGCAGTTGTCTCTTGTTTCTTTTTCTGTTATTTTTTTTGTTGCATCTTTACCAAAGAAATTCCTATTATTTCTGAATTTCTAAATTTACTACTGTTTCTGAGAATTTTGATTTTTTTTGTTTGTTTGTTTTCATTTCTGTCATCATATCCATTTTGGCAGCCAACTGGAGCTTTACTTGGCTAGCAAGTTAGGCAAATATGGAAATGTAGTGTTCTAAGGTAGTGAACTGCAATACACGACTAACTAGATTTTAGATTACAGGCATGACCCACAGAAAGAGTAACAAACAAGCTCTTAAAAGATACCAGTGGCTTTACATAGTAGACAAAGAAACTTAACTCTCTCATTGACTATCAAAAAAAGAGACTTGCAAAATACACAATATCTACAAAACATATAAAAAAGGGCCAGAGCAAATAGTTGAGAAAGGTTTAGAAACAAATGCAGAATAACAAGTAGCAGATGATAATGAGACTTACATAAGCCTACAATTTTGCACACTTTTGGACACAGTGAAATTATGTCCAGAAAGTAATTAGCAAATCCGAGATTAGTTGCAAACTTTTTTTAAATGATTTGAATTTGTTTTCTTTGTTTGTTTGTTTGTTTCTTTCTTTCTTTCTTTTTACTGATTTAAAAGATGTTGATTTTGTATTCACAGATGGAGTCCTTGATCTCTCTACAAAGAAAAACAAGAACCGTAGCAGCCGCTCTCTCAAACCCTCCCATGGTTTCTCCATCACGCCAGTAGTCAAGGGGTAAGGGCTGCTTTTTGCTTATTCTTTGAATTTTGTTATCTTCTTTTTGTAGAGCTATAATGCAGTATGCAGAGTTATTGAAAGGACACTGTTAAGTATATTTTTTTTTTTTTTTGGTAAAATTCTGGTGCACATCATATATATATATTTCAAGACGGCACCGAGGATGGCAGCCACATTGTGAGCCTCAAACTTTTTGTTTGTTTTTGTTTGTTACTGTTGTCCATTGTACGTCAAACTTGGCCAGTTGGAGCAGGGAACTAACCTTCTGGGACAACGTTTCTCTGGATATTATTCTGGAGTTTATTCAAAAACCTTCAGAGTTTTTGGAAAATCTCACAATGGGTGCATTAGCTCTGCTCAACCTGGCAAGGAAGCAAAAGAGAGGCAGTAGGGCCAGCGCACTCATAAGGCTGAGACAGCGTGGGCCTCTAACACCTTTACCCCCTTTATTTCTCTGTGCATCTCCATACAACAAAATAGAAGAACTACTTCTGCTCAACTAAACCAACAAGGACTTATCAACCGCATCTGCCCTCTGCTTTGTGGAGACCTGGCTTTCTGATCTGACCCTAGACAGTGTGCTGCACCTACCTGGCGTCCAGCTGCACAGAGCAGACAGATACATGGAACTCAACAAACACTGATGTAAAGGCATGACGGCACTGTTAAAATCATGCACTCCTCATCTAGTGTCACTTTTCATGAACTGCAAACTGCTAGTTGCTGTTTACATTCCACTGAACATGCGTACGAGTGACGCCCAGAAACTGCTGACCGATCAGATAATGAAAGTAGAAAGAGGGATTTCTGACTCCTTACTTATTATTCTGGGAGACTTTAACAGTGCAAATCTAACAAATGCTTATCTGTAGTCTAAGTGCCTAGGTACAGACACCATGTCACTTGTGCCTCAAGAGAAGGGTACATTTTGGATCATTGTTCTTCCACTTTTAAAAATGCCTGTCGCGCTGTCACGTGCGCAGCTCTCTGTCCTTCCGATCACAGTCTTGTACACCCCACCATACAGGCAGAAACTTAAATACAACAAGTCGGTCGTCACAACGGTGAAGACGTGGACCAGTGGAGACATTGAAATTGTATTATATTTTTACCCTACACTAGAACACTAGCACATGCTGAGACACAAGTACAGCCAAGATGGTAAAATGGACTCAAAAAGTTTGGGGCTCCCAAGGTGGTTTGATTTTTGTTGAAAGAACAAAATGACTCTTATTAAAATTTGGGTTGCGACCCCTGCACTAGCTTTTAATGTACTGTGCACACCACAGACTGTCTGGGCGCTGCACTTTCACACTTTACAAAGTACCGCCTTTTGCGTTCAGTCAACGTTACGTTATCAGTTAAAATTTGGAAAATGGATTTTTGACATTTGTGGATCTTTTTATTTTTGACATTTGTGGATCTTTTTATTTGATTTTCCCCTTAGCCAAATACTTGTTAACAGTCTGGTTGCTTGTCTGGTCTGTTTAGTATGTTACATGTAATACATGTGTGCACTCACCAAGACATATTCTGATTCTGATACTATCATATGCTTACAAGATACTCTCAGGATATGATCATGTGCGTGCCAGATTCTATCAGGTGATCTAGAAAGATTGTTAGCTATCTTGGCCACATACCTTGGATCTTTTGACAGGGGTAAATAGTAATGGGGTCTTCTAGTGTTTAATCCAGATCCTACACTTCTTTTCTTGTGTTATTGGTTTGGGAAGTGGGTAAATTTCACTTTCTCTTGAAACTCTTGTGACATCAGGTATCTTTTTACAAGTACACCTACACACAGCTTTGCAGGTTATTCTAACATTCTGAAAGCTTTTCAAAGGTGCCCAAGCCTAGTGATTGCACTAATTGTAAATTTCCATTTCCTTCAAAATCTAAGGTTATATGTATGTTTAAGTGCTACAGGCAACAAAACAAAGAATAAATATGTTCCCTCATGTCATTATATTTAGCAGCTTCCTTTCACTTTGCATGCTCAAAACAGTTCTGAAGTGCTGAGATGGCCTCTTTAGATGAGGTTCTTACTTGTTTCAGAAATCGTTTTGCATGCTTGAGCAGAGCTTTATATGCTGGAAATTCATATTGAGGGAACAGTGCTATGTTCCCTTGATATGAAATAATAAAGGAACTTGTGAAAGGGCTCTGAAAGTCATGAGTCGGATCATGAGTTCACCAAAAACACTATTTTAAAACTAATTTGTGAAGTAACACGTTTTAAGATTTGTCTTCCTAGTGATTTAACTGATTTTCAGCTAATTTAGAGGACTGCATCTTATACTAAGGCCTGTGAAATTATTCCCTAAGACAGCTAGACAGTACTTGCACCTACCAAAGTATTTGCAAACATCACTATATTAAGAGTACAAGGCCATAACACTCATTCTATAATAGCACAAAATCAGTATTAAAGTGTATGAAATTAGATAAAAATTTCAACCTACCTACAAGGCCTTCATCAGAGGTATCAATTTAGTTTTTCATGTTGAAGCAGAATGGTGTTGATGCATAGGGCCTTGTGATCATATGATTATTTCCTAAAAAAAGAAATCAGTGAGTGAGCATAAAGCCCTGCAAACATAGGGTTGTATCGAAAAATACAGAGAGGGACATAACATAGGGCTAGTTCCTTATACAAGCAAATGTAGGGACATGGGAACACTGACCCCGTGAGTAGAGAGCATGAGAGACCATTTTTTCTTTACAAACAGGTGCAATCCTGAATTCCACAAGCTGCCCTCTCTGCCCTTTACCTACTAACTTTTTAAGTAAGTACGCTGCTCATTGTTAGCTGGTGTCCTCCATATTGTGAAATCGCTCACTACAACACGGAATTCTTGCTTTCTCTCAGAACAGTCATTTCATTCCAGTATGATCTCTTGTATCACTGAAAAAAGCATTTGTCAATGTTTTAAATGATATAAGCGTCAACAGGAAGAGGCTCGAGAAGCCTGCCTGTCTTGTTTTGTCTAGATCTCATTGCTGGCCAGTTAGAACTGGACCCAAGATTCTACTTGACTTACTGCAGAACTGGGTTGGCTAGGTGTAGTTTGTGTGCATCTACCCAGGCAACAGAAATTACCCCGATTGACCAAAGGGGGCGGTATAGCTCAGCCAAACACGTTTTGCCTCATAACTCCTAATCCAAAAACAATTTAGAGAGGAAATTCTTTTTTTTGCCTGATTCCTAACCAATTTGCAATTTGTGTGCTTGAAGCCGCAGATTGCCGCTTGCAGCTTTATTTCAACTTGTATATGTGTCACCTGGCTGGAATAATTAATAAATATAATGTTAGCTGTTATCCCAGCTATATCTGTCCATTAGAAACATTAGAATATATAGAGAAAATGGGACTCCTCACAAACATGCAAGACCTTGTAGACCACCAAAACTTTCACTATTAGATAAACAGTCCTTAAAGCTATCATCTTTGAGAGAGGAAAATCCAGTTCAGATCTGAAAAAATTGTCATTTTTTTTCTGTCCATCATTGCACTCTGTGAAGACAACTGAACGCTATGGGTCTGAAAAGATGTTTAGCTGTTGAGAAGCTGTTCTTAAGAAAAGGAAACAAACTTAAAAGAAGAAAATTTGCACATGTGTTATCAGAACAATTCAGTGGCCACCCCAGAGCCCAGAATTTGACATTACTGAATTTGTTTGAGAATACTTGGATTCTGAGAAGTAAAAAAACAAAAAACAAAAGCAAGTCTTCTGGAAAAAAGATTTACAGTTGTAATAAAGGCTAGACATAAAAGGACAGACACACCAAATACTGAAGATTTTGATTTTAGACATTTTGATATATTTAGTTCTTGAGGCTTTGGTTAATTTCTGGTTAAATGTGTTTTCTGCTTTTATTCCGACATTGAAAAATATATAACTTGTGCTTAATGGCAGTTTTGACTGGAAATTAAATACAACCCTATTTCCAAAAAAGTTGGGACACTTTGCAAAATGTAAATAAAAACAAAATGCAACCATGTGCAAATTAGTTAAGCCTTATATTTAATTGAAAATAGCACAAAGACAAATCAAATGTTGAAAGTGAGAAATTTGTTTTTTTGTAAAGTATATGCCCATTTTGAATTTGGTGCCAACAACACGTTCCAAAAAAGTTGGGACAGGGGCAATAAAAGGCTGGTAAAGTTGTGTAATGCTAAAAACACCTGGTGGTTAATTGGCAACAGGTCAGTCACATGACTGACATGAAATCCTTTATCAAACAAGAATGGAAAGCATTTCACTTCCAGAACTACAGCAATTGGACCTCCTCAGTTCCCAAACGCTTACAGAGTGTTGTTAAAAGAAGAGGTGATGCAGCACAGTGGTAAACATGCCCCCATCCCAAATTTTTTTGGAACGTGTTGTTGTCATCAAATTCTAAATGAGCATATATTTTTCAAAAAAACAATAAAATTTCTCAGTTTCAACATTTGATATGTTTTGGAGTGTTTTCCTATGGTTTACATGATTTGCACATCATTGCATTCTATTTTTATTTACATTCTACACAGCGTCCCAACTTTTTTGAAAAAATGGGGTTGTAAATGAAGCATGATCTATATGTTTGAACAATACTTTAAGTCCCTGCTACATTTCTCAGGCCATCAAACAGCAATCCTCTTGTCATCTCAGAAACACAGCTGAAAAGGGGAATTCACTTTTCAGTTACTATGGCCCCAAGCTCTGGAATTCTCTCGGAACCTTAGAGCAATTAAAATTCTTAATTTTTATAAAATTTAAATGAAGTATAATTGTTTCTAATTAAACTATTTTATTTGTTTATATTAAAAATATTCAACAAAACACTTTCCATTCTGCTGGCAGAATGGCTTCTAGGAAGCTTGCAGAAAGGGGTTAAAGTGATACATGGCCAGGGTTTGAAAAAACCTGCACAGTTTTACTGTTTTCGGCTATGAGATTAAATCTTTGCGGTATTGTAGAATGAGACTCTTTGTAGAAGAGGAGGAGTTTTTTGTTAATCACTCAAAATGAGTAAATTGTTAATTTGTGGATCTTTCAGTTTTAGTCAGTGGACAAGTATTGTTTTTTTTATTTTTCGTTTACAGGGATGGATTAACTTAGTCATAGACCCTTAGGCTGCACTTTTTGTAGGCCCCTTAAACCTACCATATTGTAACCATATCATGCACTCAGAGATAGTAGGTTAACAGAGCAACAGTGTACAAGTTTCGTGAAATTGAGCATATTCAAAAAATCAGATGGAATATTCTAACATTTTCACAACTATAAGAATGCTTTATAACTTCATTACCTTTCACATCTACTGTCAGCCAGGGAAAAGGTATGTTACCCCAGTCAACCAGCAGCCAGTAGGTTTATATGGTCTTACTTAAACAGGTCTAGAATACAATAATAAATGTATATTTTTGAAGGGCAGCGTGATGATTGAAATTAACAAAATATTTTAAGAATATTTTTTTTCATAGAATCTTCCTGCCAGTGATACGATGGTAATGCCTCCTAATCAGAAATCAGTCAGAATTTTTCTCTTTTTGGTCTATCAAATATTCAAATGTACTCAAGTTTGAAATATGGCATACATAATTATACAGTACATTAAAGTAATACATAATTTTGCAGAGAAAATAAGTAAGATGCATAAACGCAGTAAATTCTGCGCAGTGAAGTCCTCGTTATGTTGGCTGAATCCACTATGGGGCGATCAGCATAGAAGCATCCCAAAAAGCTTTACTCATGAGATGGCTGTCAAAACAGGTATGTAGGCCTAATCTGACGTATATTCAAGAATGATATCCTTAAAATCCACATGCCGCTGATATCCCACAGTCATTATAAGCTGAAGAGAGTGGCTGCATTGGACCACAAGTTTAGTGAAAGAAAGTCTATAGTTTGTACCAGTGGATGTTAGCTATTAAGCATCTTAGCCATGAGGCTTAGTTAAACCCCATACGATAGTAATTAAAGCCAAAATAAACTGGTGGTGTTTTTGTTTGTTTATTGGACCAAATTAGGAGCTGCAAGTTTTAAACGATCAAATGGACATACTTTTTCTATTTTTTATTTTTTTTTATTTTCATTTTGATTGATATTAGAATGTCAGATTTTATTTAACAACCCTACTTCTCCTCTGTGGTGAGTTCTACCCTGACAGAAGCTCTTCAGCTAGGGCGCTGCTGCCTTTTCTTTACATTCTTACGTTCACTGCTGCTTCATCTACCTCATGTTATTATGTTGTGGGTGCATGCAAAAATGCTGGCTGCTAAATGCAGTAGAAGACTTTCCCAATTACTTTTTTTGGTATAGCATAGTGTGGTTGCCCAGGCGGGAATCAAACTCCAGTTGGCCACATAGAGGGCAGTGGTGGTATCCACAGTGCTATTCTGTCTGCTGTATCAATATAACTTTCTGCTATTCTGTAATTAATTTATGTATTATTTTTGTCTCAATCAGGCATTCCCTGTTAGCTGATCAAAACTACCAAGACACTGATGATGAAGATGACTTGCAACAGAAAAACTTGCAAGATGGGATCCAGGAGAACCATCCTAGCTATACATCTGTCAAGCCACCACTTGCCCGCTCACTTCTTATAAAGGAGGAACTCCTGAGCCAGAAGCATCGCTTCAGTGGACAACCTTCACCTCTTTCATTGGCCAGCTTGGAGACTGTGAGTTTGCTTAACCACAGTCAGACACACCCCCTTCTTTTTCAGGATGGATCCTGGGGAAAACCTAAATTAGATGATTTATTTAAGCTCAAACAGGCCAGCAACAACCTCAGTGATCTAAAGGACCTACCACTTTTCTTGGAGAGCCATGGCACAGTCACCAAGAGTACCAGTGCCTCTCATGGCAAATCTCTAGATCCCATCTCCATGAAGAAGGAAGCAGGGAACTCTCCTCCTGTGGACCTGAAAATCCCACAAGTGAGGGGCATGGATCTCTCCTGGGACTGCCATGGCAACACCTCTGATCTCTATAGTTATAGCTCCATGACAGTGAGCAGTGTCCACTCAGAGAATTGTCTAAGCAAGAAGCTTAGGACAATCCTACCCAAACAGAGTCGTAGGGCAGGCTTGGGCCTCCTTGATGGAAATGCAGTTGGGGAGTATTGGGGCACAGATACTGACCAGTCGACATCTGGACCTCATTATTCAACCTCAGATCCAGAAGCAGATCCAACGGGTTCAAAACAGCCACGCAAAAAGAGAGGCCGCTACCGACAGTATAACAGTGAGATCCTAGAAGAAGCTATTGCTGTGGTGATGAGTGGGAAAATGAGTGTTTCAAAGGCACAGAACATCTATGGTATTCCCCATAGTACCCTTGAGTACAAAGTGAAAGAAAGGATGGGCACACTGAAGAACCCGCCAAAGAAGAAACTTAAACTGATGATGAGGATGGAGAGACAAGATTCTAGAATCTCTGCAGAAACTGAAGCCACATCAAAAGCAACCAGTACTCCCAGCACAGTGGAAGAGGATCCATTGCAGGGAGTGGGAGACATAAAAGATGAGTAACATATAAGTAATGTTGGAAAGAAACTAACAAAACTCATGGACTAATTGAAAAAAGGACAGGGCTTTAATTGTGCCAATTTACTTTGCAGTATCTGGGTGAGCACAACTGCAGGGATCCAATAACTGGGGATAAAAAATATTTTTTTTTTAGCAACAAATGCTTATGAAAGCCATAAGTGAATCAAAACCAGAGGTTTTATTAAAACTATAGCAGGCTGATTAACTTGCCCCACCTGGCCTATTCTTTTGAACTTAACATGCCATTATTGGGCAGAATCCTGTTATGATGAATAAAAAATGGGGAGCAATTGGTGAACAGAAGGCTTGAAATAAGCCCTTCAGAAATGAACTTTTTCCCTCTTGTTCCCACAACTTTCCGTCTCACACTACTGAGTTTGTTTGCTAAAGTATACTTTAAAACTATTCATTCAACATAAAATGAATTAGTTCCAGGAGAATTTTGCCGGAGTAATTAAATATACATATATATTTACTGTCATTAGTTTTAACCCTTTATACTCTGCAACATTAAAACAAATTTAAAGTTAGCCATGTTTTGTTTTTTTAGAAAATGTTGCTTAAGTATAGTAATTCAGGGATGCATGATTGTGATGAAAACTTTTACTTTATGAAACTTACATTTTCTTTTACTTTTGCGCTTTCTTTTGCACTATATTTTCAGTCTGGTAATTTCCAGACCACAATTTTTGCGATTAGACCTGATTACCTCGACGTTGTTTGCATTACGCACTTAATAGTCTTTGTAGTTATCTTTGTGAAACTAAAAATAGTCTCCTGTGAGATGCTCATTGTAATTTTATGCACCCTTTTTGAAGATCTTTTCTGATTTTAACCACACTAAACAGGAATTTCTTTTCACTTTTTGTATGTAAATTATACAAGAGTGGGTGCATTTGTTTTGGTTTTTTTTTCTCTTTTTCCTTTTTTCATTGCTGCTTTAAACTCTTTTGACATTTGTATTTATAAAAGGGAGGGTAGAACATAGGAAGGGGAAGTTTAATTATAAATTATTCTGTTAGGTCAATCCTGACAGAAAACCAATCCTTGTCTCTAGATAATTTGTTTTCTCATTTAAAACTCAGGGCAACTGAGACAAATATAGCATTCATATATTTAGCAGAAAGGAAAAAGCAGACCATCCCGGTAAAATATTTAAAGCATTCTGTCAGGTCAGGACTTTATGCAGGGTGTAGATGAGGTCTAGCTGAGCCATTAAAGATACAGAACATCAGTGGTATAAGAAAATATGCGTTAATATGTGTGATTTGTTCGGCAGGAAACGTCTGAGAATAGCACTTTGTAATAAAAGAAACATGTTTGGAGGTATGAGCTTATAGTAGCTGTTGCAGTAGCAGGTAAAACTGATGAGTGAGGTTAGAAGAAAGAAAGGGAAAGATTAGTGTCTTACCAACACTAATACTACAGCTCTGATCCAAACATATTCTTTTCTTTCAGTTACCTCTTCAAAATACCCTGGTTGACAGCTTGAATTCTGTAGTTTTTCTAATATTTGTCACTGTTTGTTGTCTTCTTACTCTTACTCTTGGCTGATAGCACCAAACTGTGTTCATACATCTATATAACAGAAAAGTTCTTTCATTTGACTTTCTCTATTCATTTGTCATCAAAAATTTGCATTCTGTGTAGTAATGGAGTTCCTTGCTCCATCACTGCCTGGTGCTCACCCAGTCTGTTTTAGAACTGTACATTAAATTCACATCTACTTTATGGTTTGAAAATGGATGGAAAATCACTATTTTAAGTGTTTTTATTTGACTTTTTAATTTATTTAATTTCATGCAGGATATAAATGGCATGCACCCATTAAATATGGGTTTTTGTGGTATTTCGAAGGTGATCAGTTCCATTTAATTTAGTGCTTATTATTCTTATGTAATTCTTATGCAGTCTACTTTTGTCAGTTAGGCTGAAGCCCTGTAGTGGGGGAACTGAAAGTAAGGACTATTAGAAACAAGCCATTGCCATTGACAAGTATGCCTTCAAAAAGTACCCCTGAAAAAAATGGCAGATAATACTACTGTAACTTTTCACTTACAAAAACATCAAAACTTAATATGACCAGAGATACTAAAACTTTTGCATATAAAAATAATCCATAAAAGTGCACTAACACTTTGTTAATGCTAAGCATCTGAAGTGTCTAATTGGAATTTACTTGTGTGTCTTCCTGAGCATGAGTCCTCAAACTTAAGCTAAACTGTTTTACTGATGTTTTTATCCAGTTAAACTTCTAATTAGGAACTAATATGGGCAGACTATTAAAAAGCATTGCTCATACTGGTTATTATTTAAGCTGTATATGTAAATACAGTTATAGAATATTGTTCGTATTAAATTGGCACTTAGGAAATATAGCACTGACATGCTGTACTAAAAATTCTGTTTGAGCACTTGAATCTTTTTTCTCTGGTCATGAGTAATGTTAATGGATTAATAGTGTCTTTATTATTAATGCGTAAAAATACTCTTTTTATTTATAGGACTTTTTATTGGACTTTACATTTTATTGTGTTACAACATGGAACCGTGATGTATTAGCTGAGAATTATTGTCATTCATCACACAAAATACTATATAATGTTGGTTTAATTACATTTTTAATGTAATTAAAAATAAATAAAAACATACTATTCTCCAAATCACATGGCAGAAAAAAACTGTAAAAAGGGAAGCCAAAAAGGCCTGCAGCAGTTGTAAAGGATTAGCAGTTCTCTGTCACAGTAACACAAACAATTAAATTTAAATTCAATACAATTTAAATTGGGCTTGTAAGACAAGACGATAAGAAAATAGTTTGCAAACTTGCAACTTATTTCAACTGAAGATTCTCCAAAGTATGTGAGAGACTCAAAAATTTGGAGGAGGATGGCCTGATGAAATCAAATCTAATATTGCACAGGCAATTAATCTAGAATAAAGATGTGCATTCAATTTATTTATTTTTGTATTCATTGATATTTGCAATTAAGTAAAGTGTTTAATTAAAGGCTTTGGTTTTTTTTATCATCGACATTGCTGAGCACTTTGTGATGAGCAAATAAATACATTATGGTTCTGTGCTTTTACAATAAAATGTATTCAAAGATGGATGAATACTTTTTATAAGCATGATATGTCTACAAAGATGGGTTAAAAACAAATCTGATCTGCAGCCTTCAAATCTGCATGTGGTGCATGCCATTTTTATGTTTTTTTTTTATTTGATGTTTTGGTTTTGCCATTGGGTTAGCAGATCCCCTATGTCCAAAACTCCTATTTGAGAAATTCACATCTTGAATGTAGTTGAGTGGACCAATTGATTTTCACATATAACATGTTTTATAAAGGAAGGCAACAACTTGATTAGAATAGGTTTCTTTTTTTCCCCAATTTTGATGGTTGTTCTTGTGCGCCATATACTCGTAGCCTTCAATACTATGTACTGTATCTCAGGATTGAATTGAAGGGGCAGCAATATTTGTCAGTCAGAGGATGTCACAGGGTTAACTACTGTATTAGGAATGTGTAGGTATACACATATAGACACATGGCTTTCTTGTCCAACTGCTATACCTCAATCTTGGAAAGCATATTCCTACATGTGCCTCATATTCAGGAATGCCATAAAAATGGGTGGATAGTTAAAAAACTGGATAATGTACATTCCTGTCTTTTTTCTCTCTCTCTCTCTCTCCTATTTTGCCTTTTGTATTAGAGAGGACAACAGGAGAAAATGTTTCATCCACCTGACTGACTTACACTTGCACCCTTTTTATTCAGGTGCTTGAGGAAAAAAATCTCTTAAATACCTAGTCGGGTTGAAATGATGAACTGAATAGCATATGGCATGTTGTTGATAAAGAATCACACTTAGGTTTGAGGTTAAGGGCCAGCAGTTGTTTGTCTTTTTTCCCTATTGAACACAAACCCATTACTGATATTTTCCTAGCCTGCTAGCCTGAGATACAGGACAGTTATTTACTGTTATTTACTGTTATTTGCTTGTTTTTAAACTGCAGTTCAAAATATGACTTTATATTGACAGAAATAGTGGTGGATGAGCATGTGTGGGAGTGCGTGGGCGTGCGTGTGTGTATGTAGGTATGTATGTATTAGAAAGATTATGGTTATTGTCTTCAGGTAAAACCATTTTTTACAGCAAATTACTTTTGCTGTATATCACACTGGACAAAAAAACATTATAACCTCAGTTTTTACAGCATGTACCATTTATTTTCATGGCAGACCTCTCAGACTGATGTTTTTCTAGGTAAGATGAATTTGCTCTGCACTGTATATCCAGTTAACAGCATTACCTCAGGTCAGACCTCTCCAGAGCAGCTGATTGTACGGTAACTTTACCGATCAGGACATTTACTGTACTTTCATTTGTGTTTCTGGGAACTTGGCTACAACTTTATGGAAGCAGTTTTTAAATTATTTTAGACAACATTCTATTTAGGAAGTCATAGGCTTTCAATTACCTACTTGACTCTTTTGAATGCAACTGTACTGTATTGTCATTATCATACAGGCTTAGAAGGAACAGTGCACATTTACATAGCTAAGGGTTAACTGCACCTATACACACACACACACACACACAGGCATGAACACTACCTGTGGCAAGATATATATATATTAAGAGCTATTGAAGCAGGTGTATATATCACAGGAAAGCATTTTTGAAGCCCATACACTTGGATTTGCTTTATTCGTGTTTGGGATGAATATTCATGACTCCTCAGCTTGTCATTGCATATTTCCCTTGAGTTTGTTTTTCTTTTTTTTTTTTTTTTAATGGCAAATTTGAAAAGGGTAGGCACACCTTTAAACTGCTATAAAATTTTATCATACTTAGACATATTTTATGTTGGTTATGTAAAACAAAGTCAGTAGTAATGATTTTTCCTCCAGTTTATTTTGGCTATAAGCAAAGATGCCACTATACACAGTGCTTTTGGATAACTATGCACTTGCAAGAATGTTGCAGTGGTTAAAAGGTATTTTTTCACCTGAGATCCGTGAGTCAGATTAGGCAAGGTTTTAATAAATAGAAATGTTTTAATTCACAATCTCTCTAATATGCAACGGTAACGCACAATGCCATCTAGAATTATCGACACCCTCAATTTTCAAAAATTGGAGAGTACTTTACATAATAATGTTTTTAATTCTGCATTT